GATATCGGTTCAAAGCCCGGTGGGCAATGCGGGTTGGGTTCGTAACAGTTGTTTCAGGAGTTCCCCTTTTCACTCCACCCTTGCTCCAACTTCATTCAAATTAGCATCACAATCAATCGCCGAGTGCGTGATAAGGTTGCAGGTCTAGAAGTTCACTTCTAGTACAAGTACTTATTCGCGCAGCAATTAGATGACACACAGCTACTGTAAAAATCACTGCTGTTAGTGAGATTAAACTTCGGTATCAATTGATTCGAACCGTCTGCAAGGTTGGAACCTTCGCCATTCCGAAGATTAAGAAATTATACGACATAATGTTTGGAAATCCACAAATGATACGTTCCGCAAGCAAAACTTGGTCCAGAGAAATAACATTAAATTTAAAAATAAATTTAGAAGATAGAAAGCCGTGCAGCAACGCAATCATTAACGCGGACAGCAAGCTCGAGGAGTTGCCCACTGGCATCCCTTCAAGACCAAATGACTCAAATCTTTTCCCGCCAACTTCCACAAGTACGATTCCTGTTTTGCAAGATGTAACGTTAACGAAAAAGAAAAACCTCTGAAGTCACGTTTCTAAATATCTAATAATTTCTAAACAAATTTCGGCAGAATGTAGGAGGGGCCAATAAGAGAAGTTAATACAATTTTGTGAAAAGTCTACCGTCACATTCTTTATCAAGTCTTTTGTCGTAAAGGTGGCAGACTCGAGAGCGTTGAAGAGGATACAAGAAACGTTACTGATCTACTCCTATTTCCCAATCTCCCAGCACTTTCAAGGCATTGGGCGTGAATGAAAAAACAAAACAAACAACAAACACACTAGCATAGATGTTTTTCAACGACTGATTTACCCGCAATTTGAAAGACGAACTACCGCAATAACTCAACTTTAAACTTAATACTTGCGACGAGGGAAAGTTTTATTTGGCAATTGAATAACTTATCTTAGAAGAAATTGTACCCAAATGCATGCTAAGCACGCATGACAGATGTTTTAAGGAGCATTCAAATTTCAGGTGTGACATGCCGAATTTTTTAACTGATACTCCCAACCCACGAGAAAAACAACAAAACCTTGAAAACAACTTTTTCGCATTCACACGACGGATGTGCGCGGCAGGAAAAAACGTCACGGGGGGGGGGGCAGTCCGACAATGGCGCTGACGTCTCCACGGGCAGCGGCGAGGACGCGTGGAGCCCTAGGGTGGGCGCCGCCCGGAATAGCCTTTGCCCGAGCACGCCACGCCACGCCACGCCACGCAACGCGCGCGCCCCTGGCGGAGGTCCCCGAGGGCGCACAGTCACAACACGCGCACCGCACGTGTGCACTGGCGGAGGAGGAGGAGGAGGAGGAGGTGGGAAGCGGCTGGGTGGCAGACGGTGGGAGCTGGACCAGCAACTAGGAAGAGTGGGGCGGCGGTGGGAATGCTGCCCGAAGAGTTGGTGAAGCGACGGGGACTATGGAACATGGACATCCTCAGACTCTCAAGCGCTTCCGCCTAAGGCTATTTCCAGGAATATTCTAACGAACGGCTCATGATTGAGCTGAGGAGCCGACTGCTACATACCATTAGTTGTATTATATTTATGGTTTTCGTAACAGACGAAACTCCACAAGAAAGTGTGCAAGAGTACTGTAACAAAACACTACTTTCCTATGAGCCCCAGTGCAATCCGGGCTGCACAAACTGCACTTCTGTACGCCTCTGACTTGCCGCCCAGCCCCCTCGGCCCAGGCAGGTGAAGTGGCCGTGACATACGATGTGGGTCGCGGCGGCGGCGGCGGCGGGGGCGGGGGCGGCCGGGAAGGCCTGCAGACGGCGCATGCGCCAACAGCCGCCTCCCCCACCCCCTCTCTCTTCCACGACGCTCGCCGCGCGGCGTCACGTGGCCGAAGCAGAGGCCGGCGCTTAGCACTGGGCCCCAACGACACGACAAAGCAAGCGAAAAGAAATGCGGCGGGGATTCAAATGTTTCTGAATGTATTCTGTATTACATCACAGGGCCACCATCTCATCAGGCTCGAGGGCAAAAAATAAAATATTGCTTGAAGAACCGCAACAACTATAGAGTAGTGGGTTCAAAACACCGAGCACGGCATGAGTATTTTGACTGTGACTGGAAAACATCACGTATAGCGTGCTATGTAGTGTATAATAATTACTCTACACATCTATTAAGACGTACACATTTAGCTGTACTTAAACATTATATACATATAAATAGTGAAATTGGTTCTTTCAGGTCATGAATAACGTACTAAAACTTCAATTTTCCGCAAATGCGATACAATCGAGACTATGCTGATGTGTTCACATAAATCTGTGAATACAACAAAGAAAACAAAATTCTTTCGTGTGACCGCATCAGCTATAATGTATCATTAAAGTATTTGTATACTTGAAAAAATAAAATGACGGACAGTAAGGCTGTCTAAAAACAAGTGATTTGATTTTACTTCGCAAAATAAAATGTAACTTTTACAACTATCACAAATAAATATATGATACATATAGAGGTAAATTATTATATTCATATAGATAAATGCTAAATTATTTTGTATTAAAAAATAGCAGTTGTGTTCAAAACATTCGAGAAGTGCTTTTTGACTAGGCGAGATGGACTGATGACAACAAATGCCCCATCACTGTCTCACTTGCATTTAGAAAACTAAAATTTCACTACCTATAACTTAACCTAGAAAATCCATCACATAAAATATCTCAAGGCCATGCCCACATTGAGAATCAAACCCGGAACTCGTTAACAATAAGCTTCCCCGCTAAATCGCAATGTCATACGAGTGAAATAAATGTCTGGAT